TATAGCTATAATCGTATAAAAAATTTCTTAGCCCTTCCTTAAAAAGTTGACATTTTATCAAGAAAAATCATCCCGAAATAGGTTACATTTTGACGCAAATTTAAAGCTGCCACAACTAAGTAGAAACTCATTGCAATGTTTCTTTGATCCATCTTTGTCCTTCCTAACTACTTGCCTTCACAACCAACGGAAAATTGTGATCGACCGTTGATTTTTATATTACAGTAAAAAAAAATAATTGCATTTTTCCTCCTGGTCGTACCTTTCTTACACTCTTTGTTTTGAGAGTTTGGCAGTTGACCACTTAGTGAGTACGAGTGGTTATAAAATGTATTGCTTTAAGTCCTTCTGATCTTCTCTACATGACATAAAAATAAATTAATGATTCATTCTTTTAAGTTAAAGGGACAACCAGAATTTTTTGAATTTTCTGATTGCTTGTAAAAACAAAGGGGCCAATAAAAGAGAGAGTCTCAGATTGGTAAAAGTTTGGCAAATGTTTTACGGTGCTCAGAACTTCATAAGGTCATAATATGAGCCCACATGACACAAGTTTGTTGTTTTCTCGTAAGTTAACAGTACGGTTTGGTTTTACTGCGCAGGAAAGAAGAGATAAGTGAGGGTTAGATGATTTTCCAGCTAACTAAAATTATTTTGCTGTGGACCAGCGTGATATTGTATTACCAGCATTTTTTTAAAGAATGAGAAAGATAATAAACTGAGCAGTGACATTATTGGACGTTTCTATTAACCGAGTTGATAATAACCGAATTCTACTGCATCTATCATGAGCTGCTGTGCAGCCAAGAGGAAAACTTGAGGAATAAGCAATGCTGCGAGTTTTCTTGCTGCTCGTGTCCACGCGCACAATGCAAGGCGTGTGTGCATACGCAGGCGGGTGCTCACTCTCAAGCACGAGCGTGCGTGCGTGCATGAATGTGTACGCACGTATTATACTCTCTCTCTCTCTCTCTCTCTCTCTCTCTCCATCCCTATCTCTTAACCATGAATAACCAAAAACGTGAAAACGGCAGGTGGTTGGAGGGTGTAATATACCGGTAGGTCCTACGTCTTTTCCTTCTCTCAGTTGTATCCTTCTGTCTGTCTCAAACTTCTCCTGCATGCATTATAACTGTTATGACTTTTGGCCCGTAAATAGGTCAAATGGGCTAGAAAAACTGCTGCTGTGTTGAAAGATAGAGGGAAAGAAGAGCAGAGGAAGACAAAGAATAACATACACAGATGGTTTGAACAACTTTGCTATGAATAACACAAAGAGAAAAACTGAGCTGATCAAGAGGACAGACAACAAGCAGGAAGGAATGGGGTACCATGATCGTCAATGGCTGCTCCAGACTTGATATGTACTTGAAAAAGGACTATAATGACCTTTGTTGTGTGAATGTACTTCTCTTAACCAAAGACCGTACATAACAAGCAGATAGTTCACTACTCTCTTTGAGCCAATTAAAAAAGTGTCCTCAAAATTCGGCGGCGCCTTCGTAGAAAAAGTGCGGACTTTGCGATAAGAGTTACCCTACCTGTATGAAAATCAATAAAAGTAAAACTAACAAACAGTGCTATTTCTATTCTTCTTCTGGGGAAACAAAAGAGAGCTTCAAAACAAAGACTGCAGCGCCATCAGAAGCAATGCGCGGACAATTTTTTGGCTA